ATGGGTTCGTATCCTGGCCGGGGAGGATTTACTGGGCGCAATTCCTTAACTGTAACCTCTGTTTTACGCAACAGTAAAATGTGTACTTGGATGAAAAAACGATTCTTCGCGGCAGGGATCGTATTCCAGGGACCTGCCCGAAACGCTACGCGTGCTAGTGGCTGTACAAGAATGTAACAACTCTTGTATATATCTCAAAAAAAAAAAAATAATGGTTTCGTATAGGCAGGAGGGACTCGACCCATGTACGTCACACCAGCGCCAGCATTCGTCAATCCTTTACGTGTCCACTTACGAAACCAGTACATCTTTCCACAATCAATGCGGCTTAATTTGCATATAATAAACACTTATAAGCACAGAAGCATTACGAGGTTTTCAATAACAATAATAATAACCTTTGTGAAAACGAAAAAAATTATTTGGAGCAATGCAGAGGTTTTGAACTAGCGTTCTAGTTACTCCCAGACGCTTGCCTTAACCCACTAGGCCAAGATAGGACAAAAACTATTCAACCTGGAACCTAATAAGTCCACTGGGAGAGTCTGGAGGCCTCAACGTATGCCACAACCAGGTTATTCATTCCCAGTGGACTCGGTAGAGTTCCGGGTTGAATAGCTTTTGTTCCATCATGGCCGAGTTGGTTAAGGCAAGTGACTGGGAGCCATTTGAACGCTGGTTCAAATTCCCGCATTGCTACAAATGATTTTCTTGTTGATATATCACGTCATTGTGATTTCTTTGTGTCAATAACTTTTGTGATGCTCGGTTTCGAAGTCGTAATCTATATATTAGATTGAGGAAAGATATACAGAGAAAAGATAAAGAAGTTGCCAAATCATTTCTGTGTCGGGTCGGTATTAACCTCTGGTTCCTCGGGTGTGAGCCGAGGCGCCAGACTATCGCGCTACAAAAGAAATTAAGATGAGATTTTGAAAATAAAATCAAATTTTATATAAAAAATTCAAAATATTTTCACTAAACGTTTGGGAAGAGACTGGGTCAAAACTACCCAGTTTAGCTCACTTCAGTGACTGGGAAGAACTGGAAGACCTTAGTATTAGCTGTTTCACATAAACATCAACGTGAGACCAAAAATGTTCCATACTCACAGTACACAGTGTACAGGAGGAGGAATAATTGACTTATATTATATACTATTTTATAATGTCCCCAGGAACGATAATACCACAATCTCCAACAATCTTCTAATTAATAACTTTTTAATCTAGAGTAATATACATTGCCTAAATGGTAATGATAGCCAGATATATTTCAATTGTTGCAAATTGCAGAAATATATTGGCAGAACTATTAGTTCTAAACGAAAACTAAGAGAAACAATTCTCTTGGTTTTCGCTTGTGCTGAACGTCAGTTGACGTATTTCGCACTCAAAGGGTTACACCCCATCGGCACCTTTCCTGAACAAGATATATGAAGTGAAATAAAAGTAAAACTTAAAATCTGAAGCACGTTATGTGATAACAGGGAAGCATTCAAAGGATGAAAGGCAACTGTAAGCGGGAGACAAAAAAGAGGTTCAACTATAAACAAAATATAGAACTTATTTCGTCTGATGATTCGAAAATATTTGCTTTAAGAATAATTTGCGAATAGGAGAGGTGAATGGACCAGTAGGCCTACTACTGTATTGCCTGGCATGGATCAGTGCTGTAGTGTTCTTGCTGTGCATGCATGGTAGGCCTACTGCTGTGGTTCTGCCTTGCACAGATCGGGTCTATTGCCATGTTCATGCCTATTGTGGAACTGAAGACCTGTTGAACCCTAAACAGTCTGTGCAAGGAAACAGCTCATGAAGGATACGGTATATGAAGGAATGAAACCCGAAACGCCCGAAACGCATTGCGTAATAGTGGCTTTAGGCATTGTATGTACTAGATCTATCTATATATCAATCCATTAATGTAACATCTCTTGTATGTATATACCTTACCTGAATAAACATCTGAATCTGAATCTGAAACAATCAAACAAATAAAAACCGCTAGAGTTAAAAGGGTTTTTAAATCCTGAGGTGAACCTCGGTTCCCTACATGTTGTTGTTATCGTGGTTGTGATAGCTGCTTCACCCCCTGGGTACAACCATATGGCCTCGTTGCCTGATAACACACTCAACCATGCTATCATGCATCTCCTCCACATCTCTGTTATCTACACGGAAAACGCTGAAGGTTTTTTAAGAAAACGGCGAGAGTTCGCTAATACAATTTTAATACAGTAAACCAGTGTAAAATTACAATGTTCCAACGTGAAGGAAAGGAGAAACAATAAGCTATTATGACTGTATTACACATGGAAGAAATGCGAGGACTGGATGGGAGTTGGGATTGAGAGATGGGATGAAGGAGCGGTGCCCAACCACTTGAAACATCGGGGATCGAATACCGACCTGCAAGAAATGAGACATATACCAACCAGTCCAAGTGAGATTAATGCAGGCATAAACGGGCTCGACGTGGCTACACATGCGATAACACCTGATGTCTGGCGGGATCACACGAACCAAAGCTAAACAACAGATTGTTTACTGTAATTAAAATGCTCTGCCCGAAACGCTGCGCGTACTAGTGGCTTTACAATGTAATTACTATGCTATGTATCCTCACAAACCCAACGTGCCTTCTTGTATATAAATAAATAAATGGTATAGTTGACCCTTGTGGTGTCGGTGCTCTGTGGTGGTCTATCTCAGTCTACCCCTTCTCTCTACGTCTTCCCGCCTTCACCTTCCGCAAAAGAAAATGTACATTTCGGTGATAACGCATTTTTTCTCCATACTAGCTCACTTCTCTCATTGTCATATCTCTCCCTCTCTCATTCTTTCTCTACCTCTCACATTCTCTTTGTCTCTCCCTTATGCACACTATCCTCGGGTGTTCCCTCCTCACATCGTTCCTACTCTGTTAATTATGATCGTGTTACCACATAATAAACGGGACACAACGCGTTACCACTCCGTGGCGGCGTATAAGTGCTGGTAATGTTACCGTGTGATGCGTCCCATGTATGTTCCCTCACAACCCCTAGTGTGAACCGGTTCCAAACTTGTTTCTATATAGGTGTAGAATATCAAGTGTTCAGGATATAAGTATCCCGGCAGCCTCAGGCCGCTGTTCGTCCAGGCGGCGGCCGACCCCACACATGCCATACGTTTGTGTGAACGTACTATGAGCGTCTTTTTAGTTCACATTATATGTCAGAATTCTATGTACAGATATGCATAGGTTAGGTGTTGAGGCTCTGTTGGGAATTGTATTCGTGTGCAGTACGTGGGTGAAGCGTTTTAGTGAAGCGTTTTAGATAATTGCGGAAACTTTTTCAACACTTAAACACTGCTTTGCAGTCTCCCCAAACATGTCATCCATGTTCGAATCGCACATCTGCTGTCTGGACATTACCAATCCGTACCCTATTATACGGACACTACCAGTCCCAACTCTCTTCATAATTATAATTATAATTACGTTATTATAATTATTTTTATAATTATCATAAATATATATATATTATAATATAATTTACATAATATTATTATATATATTATAATATAATTTACATAATATTATTATATATATTATTGTTATATAATTATTATAAATCATTATAATATACTTAATTATAATTACGGTGTTATCCGGACATCGTCAATCACCCACCCTGTTATCCGAACATCACCGACCCCCCTCACCCTGTTATCCGAACATCACCGACCCCCCTCACCCTGTTATCCGAACATTACCAAACCCCTCACCCTGTTATCCGAACATCACCAATCCCCCCCACCCTGTTATCCGAACATCACCAACCGCTCACCCTGTTATCCTCACCCTGTTATCCGAACACCACCAACCCCCTCACCCTGTTATCCGAACATTGCCAATCTGTACAGTGCCTCAACAAACTGAGAAATATCTCGCCCCGGGGAAATGTCCCAGTACTGTAGTGGACGGCTTCTCGCAGTAGACGAGGCAAGTAAAGTAATCTTGAGAAAAATGGAGGAAATTACGAGGAAGTACCGTTGTTTTTACCGACTAAAGTGGTCGTGTGGTAGCCTTGACTACCGGAGGGAGAGGGGGGGAAGGGGAGCCATTCGTTACTCTGGGGATTGGTTCTTTGTAACAATCCCGTTGATCACAAGGGGCCAGATTCACGAAAGCACTTACGCAAGCACTTACGAACCTGTACATTCTTTTTTTCAATCTTTGGCGGCTTTGTTTATAATTATTAAACAGTTAATGAGCTCCGAAGCACCAGGAGGCTGTTTATAACAGTAACAACAGTTGAATGGGAAGTTTTCATGCTTGTAAACTGTTTAATAAACGTAACCAAAGCCGTCATAGATTGAGAAAAGATGTACACGTTTGTAAGTGCTTGCGTAAGTGCTTTCGTGAATCTGGCCCCAGATATCCTCAGGTTAACTTCAGCGCTGACCACGTGACTTCTCGTTCCGTAGGTTGGGATGAGTTCTTGTGTTCTTTTGTTAACCAATAACATCAGGTCTTGTTCTTATATGTTATTGTTTGCTCGTGTTCTACACCATCAACGGACATTGTCAAGAAGGGGGGGAGGAGGGGGTACATTTTTCACTGTCATTGGTCACTGCGCTCAACTCCTGTGTCACTGTGTGTCTGTTACTGTGTGTCTGTCACTGTGCGTCTGTCTCTGTGCGTCTGTCACTGTGCGTCTGTCACTGTGCGTCTGTCACTGTGCGTCTGTCACTGTGCGTCTGTCACTGTGCGTCTGTCACTGTGCGTCTGTCACTGTGCGTCTGTCACTGTGTGACTGTCACTGTGTGTCTGTCACACTATTGTATTACTGTCATTCCATTGCATCACGGTCACTCCACAGTACTAATGTACCACTATCACTGTACCACTGATCAACTGTATCACTGTACCACTGATCAACTGTATCACTGTACCTCTGATCAACTGTGTCACTGTACCACTGATCAACTGTATCACTGTACCATTGATAGTTTGTGAGCGTGAAGATGCCCATCTACCTGGGCACGCTGCAGGTGCCTGTGGCCGGCCCGGACCACCCCGTCCTTCACCTGTTCGACTACAGCCTCACCAACCACCTCCAGGCCGCCGGGTAAGTCAAGATGGAGGGGGTCAGTGGCGTGGGTTAGGGGGGGTCAATGGCGTGGGTGAGGGCGGTCAAAGGTGTGGGTTAGGGGGGGAGGGTCAATGGCGTGGGTGAGAGGGGGGAGAGGGTACTGTTATATGAGGACCCCCCCCCCCTTACTCTCGTTCTAAATATTCTCATTAGTTTTGCATCAACAGCAAAACTGGTTTGTGAAGGAGCAAATCAAATCATAGACATACTAGGAGCTAAATAGGTGTTGGTATCGACTGTTGGGGGTCTGCCACTAGAGCCCCCTTCTGTATCTTCTCTATCACTGTGAGCATTTGTGTCCTTTCTGCGAGGTACTCCCTCAGCCAACTTAACTTAATCCCAGACTGAGCAGCCTGTGTCTACAGTCAAAATAGGAGTCTCGCCCTGAACACTTCTCAAATGCTTTCTGTCTGGGAAAATGAAGTCTACCCGACCTCCTCTCTGTTATATTTATGTTATCTTGTTGTAGAACTCTAATCAATTTGACCATCAATGAATCCATGCTAGAGTTTTGGGACCAAATTTAGCTGTTAAAATTGTTTGATCTAGGAAGCTGTGGATCAGACTCTCTAGTACGTCGCAGGTGATGGTTGCTAGTGATACTGGTCTCTAGTTTAACACTTTTTGTCTTCCTCCACATTTGTTATATATTGACACCACAATAATCATTTTCCAACAGTCTGGAAAACTCTAATACAGCATAATAAAGGAAATACACTATGCATCCGTTGCTTCTTTTAGTATCCACGGGGATATCTTGTCCTGGTCAGCGGCTACAATAACTTCCAGTTCCTCTACTTGTGTTCTTCTTCAGGGCCATAGTTCCGCGACAATGAGTTTTCAGGTTTATTCTCTTAGCTATGGCTCCTAGCTGTTGGGGAACATCTGGTTTCTAGTTAAAAAAAATATTTGAAAAATTTCAAGTTCTTCACACACACTATCTTATCACTCTCTGTTTCTTTTCTATGTATTGTGTGATCGCCTTAGGCATTCACACTCCCTTGGTGTAGATATGGAGCAGTTTTGGCTGGTCCTTGGATTTTGATGCAATGTTATTCCTTAATCTTTATATAATATATATATATATATATATATATATATATATATATATATATATATATATATATATATATATATAATATATATCCCTTCCTCGACACCTGATGTCTCCTTCATTACACCATCTCTGTCTCTTCTTATTCTATTATTAACAGTTTTGACCCATCCTCTACACCTCTCATCTCTTCCCTCAGATCCAGCAACAGAAAACAGCTGGTAGCGGTAGACTCCTGCATCTACGTTCACCGTCGTAGCCTGGCCAGTTTGAAAGCAGGAGAGAACTGTGCGTCATGGGGCCGCGTTGGAAAGGGCGGAGCCAGAACGTCTGAGAGCGAATCAAAGTCCTCAAGGGGCGGAGCCAGAACGTCTGAGAGCGAATCAAAGTCCTCAAGGGGCGGAGCCAGAACGTCTGAGAGCGAATCAAAGTCCTCAAGGGGCGGAGCCAGAACGTCTGAGAGCGAATCAAAGTCCTCAAGGGGCGGAGCCAGAACATCTGAGAGCGAATCAAAGTCCTCGAGGGGGAAACCCAGAACGTCTGAGAGCGAATCAAATCCCTCAAGGGGCGGAGCCAAAACGTCTGAGAGCGAATCAAAGTCCTCAAGGGGCGGAGCCAGAAAGTCTGAGAGCGAATCAAAGTCCTCAAGGGGGAGAACCAGAACGTCTGAGAGCGAATCAAAGCCCTCAAGGGGCGGAGCCAAAACGTCTGAGAGCGAATCAAAGCCCTCAAGGGGCGGAGCCAAGACGTCTGAGAGCGAATCAAAGACCTCAAGGGGGAAAGCCAGAACGTCTGAGAGCGAATCAAAGCCCTCAAGGGGCGGAGCCAAGACGTCTGAGAGTGAATCAAAGTCCTCAAGGGGCGGGGCCAGAACGTCTGAGAGCGAATCAAATCCCTCAAGGGGCGGGGCCAGAAGGTCTGAGAGCGAATCAAAGTCCTCAAGGGGCGGAGCCAGAACGTCTGAGAGCGAATCAAAGTCCTCAAGGGGCGGAGCCAGAACGTCTGAGAGCGATTCTAAGTCCTCAAGGGGCGGAGCAAGAACGTCTGAGAGCGAATCAAAGCCCTCAAGGGGCGGAGCCAGAACGTCTGAAAGCGAATCAAAGGCTTCAAGGGGCGGAGCAAGAACGTCTGAGAGCGAATCCAAGCCCTCAAGGGGCGGAGCGAGAAAGTCAGAGAGCGAATCAAAGCCCTCAAGGGGCGGCGCCAGAACGTCAGAGAGCGAATCAAAGCCCTCAAGGGGCGGAGCCAAAACGTCTGAGAGCGAATCAAAGCCCTCAAGGGGCGGAGCCAGAAAGTCAGAGAGCGAATCAAAGCCCTCAAGGGGCGGAGCCAAAACGTCTGAGAGCGAATCAAAGCCCTCAAGGGGCGGAGCCAAAACGTCAGAGAGCGAATCAAAGCCCTCAAGGGGCGGAGCCAGAAAATCAGAGAGCGAATCAAAGCCCTCAAGGGGCGGAGCCAGAAAATCAGAGAGCGAATCAAAGCCCTCAGGGGACGGAGCGAAAACGTCTGAGAATAAATCTAAATACTCCAAAATGAGGAGCAGAGCAAAAAAGAGTGAATCAAAAGGTGGTACCAGTACAGCAGACACTGGAGTGCAGGTACCTGAAGATGGTACCAGTACTCCAGACACTGGAGTGCAGGTACCTGAAGATGGGACCAGTACTCCAGACACTGGAGTGCAAGTACCTGAAGATGGTACCAGTACTCCAGACACTGGAGTGCAGGTACCTGAAGATGAGACCAGTACTCCAGACACTGGAGTGCAGGTACCTGAAGATGGTACCAGTACACCAGACACTGGAGTGCAAGTACCTGAAGATGGTACCAGTACACCAGACACTGGAGTGCAAGTACCTGAAGATGGTACCAGTACTCCTGACACTGGAGTGCAGGTACCTGAAGATGAGACCAGTACTCCAGACACTGGAGTGCAAGTACCTGAAGATGGGACCAGTACTCCAGACACTGGAGTGGAAGTACCTGAAGATGGGACCAGTACTCCAGACACTGGAGTGCAGGTACCTGAAGATGATACCAGTACTCCAGACACTGGAGTGCAGGTACCTGAAGATGGGACCAGTACACCAGACACTGGAGTGCAGGTACCTGAAGATGGGACAAGTACTCCAGACACTGGAGTGCAGGTACCTGAAGATGAAACCAGTACACCAGACATTGGAGTGCAGGTACCTGAAGATGGTACCAGTACACCAGACACTGGAGTGCAGGTACCTGAAGATGGGACCAGTACACCAGACACTGGAGTGCAGGTACCAGCAGATGAGACCAGTACTCCAGACACTGGAGTGCAGGTACCTGAAGATGGGACCAGTACACCAGACACTGGAGTGCAGGTACCTGAAGATGGGACCAGTACACCAGACACTGGAGTGCAGGTACCAGCAGATGAGACCAGTACACCAGACACTGGAGTGCAAGTACCTGAAGATGGTACCAGTACACCAGACACTGGAGTGCAAGTACCTGAAGATGGTACCAGTACTCCTGACACTGGAGTGCAGGTACCTGAAGATGAGACCAGTACTCCAGACACTGGAGTGCAGGTACCTGAAGATGGGACCAGTACTCCAGAAACTGGAGTGCAGGTACCTACAGATGGGACCAGTACTCCAGAAACTGGAGTGCAGGTACCTGAAGATGGGAACATCCCCCAGCAGGAGAGAGCCAGCGCAGCATCTACTGAGGAAGATCACCAGACAAGGAAGCTGGAGGCGCCGCACGAGGCTCTGGACCTCCTGAGTGAGAGTGTGGCCGCCCCCAGCACTGTCCTGGAGGCAACCTCGAGCCCGAGCCGTGGCCGCTCCCTGGAAGACAGAGTGGAATATACCCTCAAGGCTGGACAGGAGTTCGATGGCTACGTCCTCAAGTGCCCGAATAGTCCCTATGATTATGCACTCAAGTTGTGGGACGTAGGCAGGGTGAGTGTCTCTTGAGTGTCACGTCACTCAAGTGTATTGTTGTGCGAGTCCATGTTGAGTAAGTAGGTCTTCCCCTTCCCTTCGCATTGTGGGTAGGGCTTCCCCCTTCCCTCAGTATTGTGGGTAGGGCTTCCCCCTTCCCTCAGCATTGTGGGGTACCGCTTCCCTTAACACTTTGAACCTTTTTCCAGCTTGTCTGTTTCTCCCCTGTTATTACTGTTTTGGTTATAATTATTGGTTTAATCATTGTGTTATTAGCGAGCTCTGCTTCAGTCACACCTGGACCCTCTCTTCCCACTCTCCCTCAGTCCTGTTGACCACGCTAGCTGTTACCTCCTTCCTCTTGCCCCTGACCACACCCTCGTCCCTGGCCACCCCCTTGCCCCTGGCCACCCCTTGCTCCTGGCCACCCCTTTCCCCTGGCCAGATCCTCTTGCCCCTGACCACATCCTTTTCCTGTGAGCGTGTGTTGGTGTGATGCTCAAGGTTCCCTCAGCGAGTCGTGGACCCGCGGTAACCCTTCACCGGCTGCTACTCACCGCAGGTGTTATCTCTTGTCTTCTTGTGTCTCTTGTTCTCCTCTTCCTGTCTTCCTGTCCTCCTCCTCCTGTCTCCCTCCCTGTCTTCCTGTCCTCCTCCTCCTCCTTCACCTCCCGTCTGCCCGTCAGTGACCAGTGGTCGTGCCTACTCCACGACCTTAAAGGTCATTCCCACGCTAATTCTCCCCAATAACTTCACCTGTGGCCGGAATGACCCGACCGGCGCCACCAACACATTTTAATACAACCTTCGTTTCTTTCTCAGTTCCTCTTAGAGATGTGTTTCCCTTCATTCATCTTTCTTTACTTTAATCCTCTCTATCGCGTTTTTTGGAAGGTTTTTATCCCCCTAATCCTGCCTCGTAAGTCTTCTTTGTTCACTTATCCTGCCTCGTAAGTCTTATTTTATTACTTATCCTTCCTCGTAAGTCTTCTTTGTTTACTTCTGCTGTCTGGACCTCCTTGACCCCCTACTTCGAAGCCTCCTCCGAACTCGGAGATTCTCCCTGGCTAATTCTCATCGCAAGATGATGAGAATAATGATTCTCATCATCTTGTGATGAGCGCTCAGTATAAACCCCATTCTCAGCCTCCCATTCTTAATGCTTTCTCAACGACGGTAAACCGTGATTATAACCTCTGGTGTGATCCCGTGCTGGGTGACCGCCTGCTGCAGACGGCGCCGACGGAGGAGACGTACCCCCTGGAGGGACAGGAGGTGCCGGGGCTGGTGGTGGACAGGAGCGGACAGTACCTGACGGTGGCGTGTGGAGCAAACATCGCCTACGCTACGAGAGACAGCTTCCTGACGGCCGGTGAGGACACTAGCGCAGCGGCGGGCGTCTCCGTGAGACTTGATTAGTTACCTTCTTCTCCCTCCTCCTCCCCGCCGCTCGCATATAGCAGCGAGTCGGGCCGTCGGGGCCGCTAATAATCGGTTCTCTCGCATAAAACGTCGCATTTGTTTACGGAATCGACAAACCCGTTCAAAATTCGACGTATTGTCAATTTAAAACGCCGTAATATATGTATATTGACGTTTTCTACGCATCGTATGTTGGGTAGGTTGCTTGGGTTCGTAAGATTATGATTAGGCTAAAGCATTGTATTTCTTACGGATTGGTATAGGTTGTGGGAACCGACCTGTGAGATTTATATTTATTTAATTTATATGAATATATATTTACGTTAATTTATATACTTCGATAGCAATTTGTATAATGGAACATGAAGACCTGGCTTAATTACCTTTAGTTTGAGGCGATTTCGCGATCTAACCGGGTCACCCTATATCCTGACATTAATGGCCATAAATGAATGATAAACGGGTTTCGGATAGACTTAACTTGAATTGTAGACATCGTGTTGGAGATGGTACCTTTGGTTTCCATAACACTACGTCCAAGTAAATTAACAGGAGCCGAATTTGCTCCCGTGTGAGCCTCTGGTCTCAATATAAACAATGGCTGTTTAACACTCCATCCTATTGACGTTACTGGCCGACATTGTCCAGAATGATAGGAGCCGAATTTGCTCCACACGTCTCGGAGGTGACACAACAATGGCTGCCTCCTTCCTCCTCTCTGACGCCTGGCTTACATTGTCCAGATGTCCAAAGGTGATAGAAGGGTCACATTTACTCTACTTTAATATTGATAATTAAGTTAATTTATATGAGATGTTTTATGATGGTAAAGTCCAAAGACTAATGTATTTAAGAACAATTCCCAGCAGAATAGCTGGTGAATTATAATAGTATGTGGTGATGATATCCCGTTTTCTTTAGACGGAAATTCCACTACAAGTTACGTTTTCTATGGGTAACTTGTTGGTAATACAGTTATTATCTGTATGATTATTAAATGGTGTCGGATTTTCCGACATAGGTCGAGAGACCGGGCCCATCACACAGCAGTTTCCGCGCCCCCCACCCTCCCTCATGAAGTATAATTCCATAATTGAAGTATATTTTGGATTTACATTTTCTAAAGCCGTTGTATTTTGAGCTTTTTATGAGTAAGATTTAAGGAGGACACTTCCGGTTGCTGGGTAAACCGGAAGCTTAATTAGTTACCGGTCACACTCAAACGGTCTCCAGTTTAACCGTCTTTCACCCTCACATGCAGCTTGCTTACGCCCACAGGCTGTTCGATCCTGCAAATTTGTAATTAGTCTTGTCAGCTCAGGGGGGCCAAAGTTCCAAGCAATATACAACAGGGAGGGTGGGGGGGGGGGAGATTCACATTTCATTAACGTACCCAATATGCGCTATAATGTATTTTTTAAATATGTTTCCAATATGTGTTTTTTTATGTTTGGGTTTAAATTTTGTAAATTTAAACCCAAACCCAAACCAGTTTGGGTTTTTGTAAATTTGGGTTTAAGTGGAGATGGAGTGCTTTAATGTTTTATTTTCCAAAGTTTCTTTAGGTATGTTCTTGAGTATGATGTGTCTCTTAATACATGCAGTGCGTATACCCTTTGGTTATACCACATACCACCGGTACACACACACACCAACATTATTCTAGATGATAATTGCATTTAACTATTGTGTCAGGCATAAGGTAAGGTTATTATGAGGAGGTGCTCAGTCACTGTGATTATATAGCACTTGGAAGGGATGTGAGGACAAGGCGCTGGGATATGAGATCAAGGAGCCGAGCTTATAAAGACGGTTAAGGACTATAGTGTCCAACCACTTCGACAACCTACAGGAATCGAACGCAAACCTGCAAAAATACAGATATAATTATATTCTCATCTCTGCCTCAGGGTATATTCCTCCAGCCTGGATATATTCCTATATGCACAATCATCCCACACCCAACATGGCGGCCACACGCAACATGGCGGCCACACCCAACATGGCGGCCACACGCAACATGGCGGCCACACGCAACATGGCGGCCACACCAAACATGGCGGCCACACCCAACATGGCGGCCACACGCAACATGGCGGCCACACGCAACATGGCGGCCACACCAAACATGGCGGCCACACCCAACATGGCGGGTGGTGTTTATGTAGCCTCGAGCCTCCAGCTGCCGCCTCATGGTCAAAGTTTAGGTCGTTAGGTAGTTAATGGGGAAGAGGGCGCCAAGAGCCCCACCAGGCCGCTATAACTACCTGGTTGTGTCGTCAGTGTGGAGGGGAGTTGGGCCACCTTGCGGCCTGGAGAAGGGTAATGGAGGAGGTGGGGAGAATGACATGAGGAGGAGAATGATAGAATAGGGAGAATGACGGAGGAAGAAGGAGATATATATAATATTACAGGTGCGTGTGTGTGTCTCTGTGTGTGTGTGTGTTGCGTGTTTTATCCGTGTGTCAGGCGTGGTGGCGTGTGGCGACGCTCCTGCACCGTGAATAACACCTGTGTATGTGTGTGCCTCCTGCAGGTGTTGATCCCGACGACCTGTCCCTACCGTACGGAGGGCTGCGGGTGTTGCTGACGCGGTCCCCGGCCCGCCCCCTGGAGGTGCCCGCTGCAGCTTGGCTCGCCACTCCCGCGAAGGTGACCACACCCGCGATATTGTTGCCACACTCACACACCCGTCAGCACTGAACTCACACCTTGCATATACTGGGACTGCTGCGCCATATGTTTTATATATATGTATATATTGGTAATTGCACATGTTGGTACCACAGTCACATATATACCGTAACAACCCCGAGGAGACATAACTACCCAACTACCATCAGACCGTGTAGCTGTGATCACACCTCCACGCCCCGCGGTTGTCATGTGGTCATAATGTTTACATTTAATGGAAATAATGTGTGTATTTTTGTTACGTCATTGGTGCCATACCCAGTGTTGCCATGCCCATTGTTGCTATACTCATTGTTGCCATACCCACTGTTGCCTTGCACACTGTTGCCATGCATACTGTTGCTATACCCACTGTTGCCATACCCATTGTCGCCATACATACCCATTGCCATACCCATTGTCGCCATACACACTGTTGCCATACCCATTGTTGCCATACACACTGTTGTCATACCCATTGTTGCCATACACAGTGTTGCCATACTAATTGTTGCTATACCCATTGTTGCCATACACACTGTTGCCATACTCATTGTTGCCATACTCATTGTTGCCATATCCAATATTGCCATACCCATTGTTGCCATACCCACTGTTGCCATACCCATTGTTGCCATACACACTGTTGCCATACCCATTGTTGCCATACACACTGTTGCCATACACACTGTTTCCATACCCATTGTTGCCATTCACACTGATGCCATACCCATTTTTACTATACCCATTGTTGCCATACACACTGTTGCCATACCCATTGCTGCCATTCACACTGTTTCCATACCCATTTTTACCATACCCATTGTTGCCATACACACTGTTTCCATACCCATTGTTGCCATACCCGTTGTTGCCATATACACTGTTGCCATACACATTGTTGCCATGCACACTGTTGCCATACCCATTGTCGCCATGCACACTGTTGCCATACTCATTGCTGCCATACCCATTGCTGCCTCACCAATATTGCGTCAATAACGTAAATCATTTAATGTACACGTCTATCATGAAACCAAAACAAATACAGTTTACGTGGCCGCTGTCTTGTCCTCACACGCGGCCACACCTTCCCAATCCTCTCTAGAGACTATAGAGGGTGACAGTAAGACCTTAAACTGACGAGCCAACCACTAGAGGGTGAGAGTAAGACCTTAAACTGACGAGCCAACCACTAGAGGGTGACAGTAAGATGTTAAACTGACGAGCCAACCACTAGAGGGTGTCAGTAAGACGTTAAACTGACGAGCCAACCACTAGAGGGTGACAGTAAGACGTTAAACTGACGAGCCAACCACTAGAGGGTGACAGTAAGACGTTAAACTAAGGAGCCAACCACTAGAGGGTGACAGTAAGACGTTAAACTGACGAGCCAACCACTAGAGGGTGACAGTAAGATGTTAAACTGACGAGCCAACCACTAGAGGGTGTCAGTAAGACGTTAAACTGACGAACCAACCACTAGAGGGGTGTGAGTAAGACGTTAAACTGACGAGCCAACCACTAGAGGGTGTCAACAAGACGTTAAACTGACGGACCAATCACTTGAGAGTGTCAACAAGACCTTAAACTAACGAGCCAACCAATAGAGGGGTGTCAGCAAGGCGTTATCTTGCTGTTACCTTCCACTTGAGTTAAATTGGTTATCGTCACGAAGCCGTCTAGGGGATTAGAGCCGGGCTGCGATCGATAGAAAAACATTTTGGTTCTTCTCATTTATGGATTTTTAGGAATCTCTCACGTGACCAATTTATTAAACACCACATTATTTGGACCAGTAAGTTATTTTATCACCCAGCCCAGTTCCTTCCTAGCCCGTCCTCATATTCCTGCTCCTATCCCGTCCTCATATTCCTGCTCCTATCCCGTCCTCATATTCCTGCTCCTATCCCGTCCTCATATCCCTGCTGATATCCATGTGCTATATAGTCACTCTGGCTTAGCACTTTTTCTTCGTAATTTCTGTATGTGTTATATAGTTGACGTTTGATCGTCGGGCTGACGAAGTTGACGAGGCCAAAGGCATCAATTTTAAAGCAAATCTCTTTGTTTTAGCATTAGAATTCTGGCAAGAAAACAGCAGATATAAATGTATCAAAACAGGAAGAGCAGTGACAGGGTCTCTGTGGGGAAGGTGGCGTCTGTTGTTTCCCGCGGCACAGGCTTCGTCTCTTTGTCTCTCCGTGTCTCTGTCTCTCCGTGTCTCTGTCTCTCTGTCTCTCTCTCTCTCCCTCTAATATATTCTACTATAAAAGTTAATTTTTTCATCCCTGCCTTTTGTGTAAACCTGCAACACGCATAAATTTCTTTATTTTATTCGTTCCTTGTTTTGAAACTTGTAAACAAGGCAATAATTTTTGCCTTGTGTTTGTTGGCTTCTGTTCTCTCTCTCTCTCTCTCTCTCTCTCTCTCTCTCTCTCTCTCTCTCTCTCTCTCTCTCTCTCTCTCTCTCTCTCTCTCTCTCTCTCTCTCTCTCTCTCTCTCTCTCTCTCAATTTTTACTTGTGTCAGTAAAAGCATCTAGTATGTGTTAAAAAAAATATCCTTCCCTTCCCTTCGCTCTGCACTTGGGCTGGACGGTAGAGCGACGGTCTCGCTTCATGCAGGTCGGCGTTCAATCCCCGACCGTCCACAAGTGCTTGGGCACCACTCCTTCCCTCCGTCCCATCCCAAACCCTTATCCTGACCCTTTCCCAGTGCCATATAGCCGTAATGGCTTGGCGCTTTCCCCCCTGATAGTTCCCATCCCTTCCCACGAGCAAGACACTTTTCACTAACTTGGACCATGATTCTTGCAGGTGAGGTCCAGGCAGTGAGTCCAGAGACCGGGCCTCGGGTACGGTGGAGCTGACTCTCCCCAATCTCTCTCTCTTCCACCCCTCTCCAGCCCTTCCCCTCTCTTCCACCCCTTTCCAATCGGTTGTTACTTTTTCCCCCCTTTCCCTTGTCCTCTTTCTCTCGGACATCCCGTTTTTTTTTTGTCAAATATTTTGTAATAAGAAACTGAGAAAAAAATATTCGTTGTTGTTGTTTACTGTTGACTGTGTTGACCCAGACGGCAGCGTCTGATAGTTCCGGGTTGTTGTTGTTGTTGTTGAAGGCTTGCAAGTGTGCAACGGGATGATAGTATGGGTCTGCAACACACACATTGTTGCCCAAGCTGATATATATATGAAGAAAATTTCATCTTTTGTGTTATTATCCTCGTGGTTGAGTAATGGAATTGTTTGGTTGGGAGTGACTTTATATTGGGAGTTAATAAAGTATTGTTTATGTTCTTGGATATCCATATGTATATAGCCACATAAAAATGTAAATATCCGAGTGAGACGGAGAGACACGAGGGCCTTCTGATGGGGGCCTCTGAGTGCCGCTTCTCGACGACCTGTATGGTGCCCGTACCCCCTGCTCCACCCCACCCCCCCCACGCCCCCCCTCCACCCTCAATCATGCCCACAACTCCTTGCAACTTCAATTCATCAAGATTGTGCGCTCCAAAGACCTGTTGAACAGACGAATGGGATTTTTGATGCCCAGTTTATTACTGAATGATTGGAAGCAGATCCCTGAGGACTAACTTGGCCTGTACCTCGTGGCTCTCTGTGACCAGAGAGCCGTTCCCTTCCGGTTTGACTCTTTCTCTTGGAAGGATTCGAACTGATTCTGCAAACTTATTCCACACGATAGATGAATGTATATGTTTATGAATCGCCAGAAAACCTATGTATCAACAAGTCCATCAATTATTATATGTGCTGTGATGAAATGGCGGCTCCAGCACGCGCGCGCGCGCCCGTGTGTGTGTGTCTATATATGTGTGTGTGTGTGTGTGTGAACATCACTGCATGAGGAGCACAGAACTCTGCCCTCACTCTGAACACCCTGAACACTCTGAACACTCTGAACACTCTCTGAACACTCTCTGAACACTCTGAGGCAGCCTCCTCAACTCATGTTTGTCACATGCGGCTAATTGAGTGACAGCCATAGCAAGCGGGCGTGACAAGAGCGCGCCCACAGACCCGCCCCTCACTCCTGGGGCGCGAGGGGCGGGCGGCCCCCTACAGCACCGTCCTGCCAAGTGTGGCGCCTTGCTTCTGGCCTTGTGTCCGGGCCAGCTTGTGTCCGGGCCAGCTTGTGTCCGGGCCAGCTTGTGTCCGGGCCAGATTGTGTCCGGGCCAGCTTGTGTCCGGGCCAGCTTGTGTCCGGGCCAGCTTGTGTCCGGGCCAGATTGTGTCCGGGCCAGCTTGTGTCCGGGCCAGATTGTGTCCGGGCCAGCTTGTGTCCGGGCCAGCTTGTGTCCGGGCCAGCTTGTGTCCGGGCCAGATTGTGTCCGGGCCAGCTTGTGTCCGGGCCAGATTGTGTCCGGGCCAGCTTGTGTCCGGGCCAGCTTGTGGACTTTTGGCCGGGCCAGGCAAGGATTAATGCCGAGACCTAAATATTCGCCCTATATAATGTTCTTCTGGGGACCTTTAGCAGTATAACTTTAGCAATATGACGAAGTAGTTACGCAAGCACTCAAGAACCTGTACATCCTTCATAAACTACATAAACATATCACAGTTTATGTAGCGGTGATATTTACGTCTCTGTGTAGGAAGCTCTGGTTAAGGCTTCAACTGGCCACCCTTCAGGTGACTCAACTTGCTCCAAGACACCCACACCCATCACTAGGTTCCACCCCCACCCACCCATCACCACCGCCCCGCCCCCCACCCATCACCAGGCCCCCAGGCCCCCCTCATCTCCTCTGCCTCATTTCCAGAGGGGTTCACCAGCCCATTTCCAGGGCTAAGTCTGCGTATATATCTTCAGGATCTTACAGGTTTATTTCCTGAATTCAGTCTGTGCCATTTCAGGAGACGTGGCGCCGGTGCCTTCCCCGCCCCTGACCTCTGCTGTACTTCTGTGGGTCTAGATACCTTTGAGGAATATTGCTTTTCATATTAACTGGGTTTGTACTTGCGAGTCCGGGATTGAATTCTCGCGTATTGTGCTCGGGGTTTCCAGTATTGTCAAGAGAAGATTTCACGAGAATCCAAAAAGGATTTCCAGGAAAAGTCGTAATAGGATTTCCAGGAATGTCAGAAAGAGGATTTACAGAATTTTCGAGAAAGGATTAAAAAAGAATGTCGAGAGAGGATTTTATGGGAGTGGCCTTCGTGATTGTCTGGACTGAGACTGTTTAATAATTGTTAATCCTATTCTTCCAGGAGTGTTAGGATGGATTATTTGCACTTTGTTCGTTATTACCAGCTCATCCACTTGGACTGGCCGGTATCGCGATGACCTCGCTTCTTTCACGGTCGACGTTCGATCCCCGATAGTCCAACCGTTCGGGCACCGTTCCTTCACCCCTGTCCTCATATTCACAGTACTGCAAGAGCTATGTACTCACACAGCCTCAAGATTATCTCAATAATTGCCACAGTTTCTTAGTTGATTTTCCAGGTCTTAGTGAATATCTTTTAAGATGTTTAGGTGAAGTTTAATCCTTTTTTTAGGTTCCTGGAGGATTTTCTTAGGATTTGTGGTTGTTAAAAATAATTTAGGTTCGTCTTACATGATTATATGTCGCGATGTATTGTCTTGTGAGGACCAGAGCTGTCACCTCTACCTCCCTTACCTTGTGTAGCTTCCGGGGATCAATGGCCCCGCGGCCTGGTCTCCGATTAGACCTCTCACT